GGAAAATGAGCAGTGGCAGGCCAGGTAACCAATGGAATGGGTACTGATTTTTGTATCTGCAAAACAACAAGCATTAGCCATTCTGCTTTGTTCTGGGAGCTGGCAGACTCTCAGGTCAAGCCCTTGGTGACAAACTGGAGAGCTGGACTGGCAGAAAAATGCAGGGGCTACCTGTTTTGTGTGGTGCAATGCTGACATCTAGCGGTCAGTATGAAGTATCACAGGACAGTAGACTACCTTCTTTAATGTAGACAAAGCCAGTATTTCCTTATCAAAAGACTGCGCTAGTATCTTGCCAGGAGGATTGAGGACTGTGGCTTCAGTTCTCCACAGGCAAATTAGATATCCTTCTCTTTATCATAAACTGCAGCCTGCAGATTAGCCAGCATGCAGTGCTCCCATTCATCTAATCAGCCAACTCTAGAGATCACAAGCAACAATATACAATGTTTTACCTTGAGCTGAATGCACTGAGGCCATGCAGAAACTAGCTGGCCCCAGAATGCACTTCTCTTGCTTGGTCTGAACAGCCAGTACAGATGCAATATAAGAGACATTTCCTTCTGCCATCCCTGGTGTAGAGCTAAATCTCCATAGTTTAAGTCAGAGTTTAACATCCACAGTTTAATATCCAAGTCAGCATAGTCATGGACCACTCCGGAGAATTTCTGAACACCAGCTACTCCAAATTCTGTTCATAGCATTTCACATGTCCTAAATGTGGTGCCAGTCCCATCAGAAACATCCAAAATCTGGTGTTTTAATTTTTTGTTCTCAGCCAAAGGAGCAATAATTCAACACAGTAGAGGGGAAAGCAAAATGTCCATAGATTGGAACCTTCCCTTTTGATACAGAAATGAATCGATTCCATCACTGCAGCACGTGGCATTGATTGTGTGACTGTATTTCACTCTACAGCTCATGCTCTGAAAGGGATGAGTGGTATAGCTGCATCAGCAGAAGCCTTCCAGATGACTACAAAGCTCATAATACATCTGCCTTTCACAACAGCATTGAGGTAAGAGCAGGTCCTGGTATTACTCAAGAGGCTGCTGAACTACTTGAACAGATAAAAGAAGGGGGAAAAGTAGTTCCGAATGGCAGAGCATTTTGATTATTTTTCTGTAAATCCCCATCCCAGGGCCCAGTTACAAAGGTCCCCACAGTACATTTAACATGCAGCTGGCTGAGACCTCCTCTGGAATCTTAATAATCTGGCAATTCCACGTCATTCTAGGGGCTTCATCTAAGTCAAAGGGAGTTTTGCTGGAGTAAGAAAACCAGGAGTTAGCTCCTTCCGATGACTGATTTGGATGCTATCCAAAAATAACTATATGCCTGGTAAATGACAATGAGAAAGCAACGCCACTCAGTGTTACTTTATCATGAAATCACAAAAATCATAAAGTCATCACTATTAAAAACCCCACCAAAAAGGGTCAATTCTAACCTTGCAATTGATGTTTTAGTGCATCTCTGTTGATTTCAGTGGCAATACTCCCAGTTAGAACTGAGTGATTTTTTTTTTTTTCCAGGAAAATAAGCTATTGGCCAAAAATTGCTGTTTCAAATTGACACGAACTATTCACAAATTGACGGGAAACAGTGGCAATTGAAAAAAAATTGGAAAGGAATTAGGAAAGGCATTTTTTTTAATGACATGCTTCCATTTAAAATAACTGTTTGAGACTAAATTTACCCATGTTTAGTTTATAATTAATTAATGCTTAACAAGAAAAATAATCAAATATCTGTTTGAGCTGAAATGAAATATTTGTTTCAAGTTTTCATTTTGACTAGAAAGGTGAAAATACTTCGTCCGTCAACTCAATAAATTTGATTTGGTCCAGTTAACCAATCAAATAATCAGTTATTTCCACTCTTCTGCTTTTTATATCTCTTGGTATAAGAGAAACATGAATTAGAACCCAAAGCCTTTTGCAATGACTGAATCCTCTCTTCCTTTTTCCTGCATGGATCTAATTTTCTCATATCACATTTTCTTATATCCTGCTTGTATAAATAAAAGTGAACGGTAAACATGCTCTTAAAATTGGGTAATGAATGCAGATTGCTGGTAAAGCATGCGACGGACCTGGATCCACTCACATAGGGCTAAATTCAAAGTCAGTTTTGTTGCTGTCAGTGGAGATTTGGGTCTAGATCATAGCTTGCATGACAAGCAAAATGAGTTGTCTTCTACATTATCTCGCCTACCTTTCATAAAACTACCCCAATAAATAGTGGAATAATCAACTCAGACTTTCGTCATGGTGAGGTAGAGTGAGTATACTGTAATAGATCTTGTTGGGATCAGGAGTTTTAAACCTAAAAAGTCATTGGTTTTTCCTGGATACTCAAGATAGGAGAAAGCTTTTAAGAATATGAGATTTGACCTGGTGTACTCAATCACATACATAGTGGCTCAGATCTTTACCTGATACAAAGTGGTGTGACATTAGTTTATGCCAGCTGTGAGTCTGGCCCTCTGTTAGCAGTGTACTGTCTCCTTGTCAGCTGCTGCTTCCAAGCCAGAAGTAGTTGCATCTCATTGCTGTCATGTCTAAAATTTTTCACAAACTGTTTATGATTCTTCAAGATGAAAAAGAAAGTCAGGACTGGAATGATGGGAGGGTTATATGTCAAGAATGAGCTGGACTGACTGGCAGCATTTAGGATGGGGAAGGGAAATACTGGTTCAGCCGCTGGTGCTGGAAAGCTGTGTTAATAGAACTGTTTGCATATTTATTTTGTTTGTTTGAAGCTAAGGGAAAGGCTGGGAATACCTTTGGGTGAGAGGCCTCCCACCTTGGTACCTGTATCCCATGTCATGATGTGCATGAACTGCGGCTGTGACTTTACCCTCACTCTGAGACGCCATCACTGCCACGCATGTGGGAAGGTGAGTCTTATGCAAATCCAGCTTCTCACGTGCTCAACAGTATTGAAAAATCTCTGAGTCAAATTCTCTTCTTTGCTACACTGACAGCAAGTGCATCAACTTCAACAGCATTAAATCCTTGCAACAGAGAATAATTTGGCTCCTCACAAATGCTATCAAAACCACTTTGAGCATTCAGATTATTATTAACTCCGGCTGGAACCATGTTAGTTCTCGAGCTGCAGATGAATTCCAAAAGACTGGGATTCGACAAGTGCAGAGGGTTGTGAGACATCTCCTGCTGAGGAGGGCTTTCAGATGTGACATGCTGATAGCACTCAGGAGAGCGAAGCAATCAAACCACCAGTTTTTCAGTCATCACTATTAAAGGCAGTTGCATTACATAAGCAGTTGTGATACATTTGGAAAGCTCCAAATTCTTAGGCCAGCAGATGCACAGTTTCTAAACTTTTAAACCACTTCACAAGTGAGCAGAACATTTGGTTTCCACAAAAATAACACAGGCATTACCGTTTTGGACCAGACCTGTGGTCCACCTTTTATAATATCCTGTCTCTGACAGTGGCCAGTAAGATGCAAAAGACTCTTAATTGATTGTCTGCCTGCACAGATCATTTCCTAACCCCCTAAAGCATTAGCCAAGGAACAAAAGCCTTTTTCAGTGCTTTTGGTTCTTTTATTAACCCTTTCTATTATCGCCAAGACTCTTGTTATCTACATAACCTCCAACTCTGTTTTGAATACTGCTTTGCTCTTGGCATCAGTGATTGTCTTTGGACACCAAGTTCCTCAGGTTAGTTATGTCATATGTGAAAAGGCATTTCTTTTTACCCATCTTAGATGTGACACTTTTCAATTTCACTGAATGTCCCATAATGTCACTTCAGAGCTAGACTTAAATTTTAAATTCCAGTCCTGCTAAAGACCCAGTTCTGGTTCAATGATTTCTGAATTCTACAGACAGAAGCAGTCTCTCCCTCTGCCAGCAGAGTGGTTGTATGGATACATCAACCCACTTCTGCATATGATTTCATTTACCACGTTATCAGCCAAATATGGTAGTAGGGTGATCAACGCATACTTCAATATTGGGAAACATATAACCCCATGAAGTTGACCATCACAAGATAACGCATAATATGGCTAAAGCTGCCCTCAGTTGCAAAGATATAAAATAAGAGCAGTTACAGCAAAGTTGGTGGAGTTATCCTTAGGCTGGTTAAGCTGACTGGTTTCCACTACTGCTTCCTCTGCCATATAGCATAGAGGCCCTTATTGCTAGTATACTTTGGTTTAGGATAGTGATTCTCAACCAGGGTGTTGAGGCACACTGAGGCGTGTGAGATTTTTGAAGGGTGCAACAAGGTATGAGAAGATAAGCAGTAAGGGTGTGCAAAATGGGCCATATTCCATTGGGATTCAGCCCGAATTGGGGACAGTGATTCGTTTCATTGATTCAGGTTGCTGTCCCCGATTCGATTCGGCTGAATCCAAATCTGAAGATTCGATGCTGATTCAGAAAATCAGCAATTTGGCCATAGACTTAGCTTTAAATGTTTTTCCTACATACCTGAAGGTACCAGGCACGGCTCATGAATACTGTGATGTTGGGGCGGATGGAGCGTCCCACAGGAGTTGGGGGGGCCGCATGCTCAGCAGTGAACCTGGAAGTGGACCAGAAGTACTTGCGATCCACTTCTAGGTCCACTGGGGAGCACACAGGGGGGGCCCCCTGCACCCCCCAGCTTGGCAATTGGCTGCAAAGGGACCCCGGGTGCCCCCCCGGACCCATGAGGCACCAGTCGTTGAGCTCGGTGGATGCAGGGATGGAGGGGGGCCCAGCACACTCCCTGGTGGACCCAGAAGTGGACCGGAAGTGCTTCTGATCCATTTCCAGGTCTGCTGCCGAGCACGCTGGGGCCCCCGCCACGCTCCTGTGGGACACTCCATCCACCCCAGCATCACAGCATTCATGAGCCACCTGGTACCTTGAGGTATGTAGAAAAAACATTTAAAGTTGTGTCTATGTCCAAATCTCATAATCTCTCTGAAACAATTCAGAGAGATTAAAGGGTCTCCTGATTTAATTTGGATTCAGAGATTCAGCCACCGAATTGGGCTGAATCTCTGCCAAATTGAATCAGCGAGCGAAGCTTCGCGCTGTCCTAATAAGCAGGTAAGTGCAGCTAAGGCTCTTCCATGTTTGGCTGGTCTCCCACCCTCACTGCAAGGTGGTAAGCATTATAAATTAGTTTTTGAAATAAGGTGCCCCTCAATTCACAAAATCTATGGAGGCGTGCCTTGAGTCTAAGGAGGTTGAGAATCCCTGGTTATAAGGAATGCATATTTATACATGTATTTATTCACTGTGGGACAGATTGTATGTCGGAACTGCTCAAGAAACAAGTATGCCCTGAAGTACCTCAAAGATCGACTAGCAAAAGTTTGTGATGGCTGTTATGCAGAACTGAAGAAGAGAGGTGAGGCTTCTTCGTTCCTTGATGAGTTTGATGATAATGTTACCCATTCATGTGACAAGAGACCTAGATTCTGCACCCCAAGCTCTGCTTCAATTCGAGAGCTTTTTCTTTCAAGCCTGCATCAAGGGTGATACTAATGCATGGTCCAGGGGAATAGCAGGCTGTGAGATGGCAGAGCACCTCTTGGTGAGCAGAAGCCTTGAATTTTTCTGTAATTGCTTGCTGCAATAGAGTAATAAGCAATAGCACTGTGCCATTTGTAACTGACAGTGGTGATCATCAGTTGCTTTCTTTTTAAGCCATCACTTTGCTTTAATTGACAGTGCACTACTTGCTCCAGTCCAAGTCAGCATTTCCTATTGTTAGCCAAGAGAAAATGCATAGACAACTAAAAAGCTTGTCTACAGAAGGAAATTAATTTGGATTAAGTTTGGTGCAAATTTAAACTAGTTCTTCCCAACTAACTCTTGGCGTGTGAATCAAGGTAACTCAAAATTAGCACTCTTTTCTTATATGAGTATCCAGGGATTTATTCAGGAACTGCTGTTCTGGAATGATTCTCTGTACAGACAGCCCCTTCTAGGCAAATGCCTTTTATCTTAGAGCTCACAAATCAGAAGTGGTCACAACTAAATTTTTCTGTCTTGGATAAAGTGACTCAGATGTCAGCTACTGCTGTAGAATTGCCATGTACTGGTTCTGCTTAATGCAATGAGATGTGTGCTGGCATCACAGCAGCCTGAACTATCGCTGAACCTGTCCCTCCAAACTCAGGCTTGTACTAGTTCAGCACTGCGCTCCATTCGGAAGTTCCAGACAATATATGCATCGCCACAGGTGTCTCTGAAGGATATTAACTCAGATGATGGCACAGAATACAGACCCTGTTGAAGGGCTAATGGAGCATGTCTTAGAGACAAAATAACCATCTTCTGTACTCCTGGGGGAAAGGCTTCTGTAGAAAGAACATCCCAGTAATGAATGTGCTTACTCTGCCATGGATGTGTCCTAGGAAGCAATCAACATAAATAAAATGGAGATGGCAGAGAAACAGGGTCAGTGCTGATGAAGAGTCATTAAGTGTTAAAGCACAATACAACACTTTTTCCTTATGTCATCTTTCATGCAAGATGTATTCCAGTGTTTGTAGCATGCACACTATTAGCCTGGAGTGCTATGAAGTCCACTGAGCATCAGTTCTGCTAATGAGACTTACAGGGAAGTTTAACAGAGTAGCTAAAGGAAAATTAGCCAGATCAGGCTTGGCATTTTCTTGTTCCTGGCTGCATTAACCTGAAGTGGTGTTTCCCAGCCCAGGCTACACATGACTATATGCACCAGTTAACCCATTCTTTTCCCTTCTCCAATTCTCCTGATATTGCAGAACGGCCACTAAGTGTGATCTTCCCTCCGACTTCATCCAGGTGTTCGGGCAGTGCCTTCTCCTCCGTCTTCCACAATATTCACTACTCTTCCTTCAAGAAGCAAAAGAAAACTCCTTCAGCTCTTATGGAGGTAGGACCAAGGCCTGCCTGAGAAAAGGCAAGGAAACTAGCTCTAGAGAACAGTAGAATCCAATATCAGTGTTTATCATTTGTTCTACCATGCAGCCAGGATACGCCTGTTTCCTAAGTCACCTTACCATGAGATTACTTTCTCCTTGGTGTAGTAAAGTTGAAATACTAAACAATTTGATGCTATCACTAGCTTCTGCTGTCCCTTGAGATCAAACTGACTGGGTATATAAACTTCATTTCCTTCAAATGGTCTAAGTTCTATTTTGAAAGATATGAGTAGTTCTAACACCTTTTAAATGACTTATTTCAAGCTCAGGGTAGTGGATGGTACAGGGGCGATGGGTTACAGAGATTGTTAATTAGTATACACAGCAGGTGGGTGTTGACAAAAGAAAAACAGAAAGAAACTGCTTTCCTATAGCTGCTGTGGCCCCTGTTATTTGCAGCAGCCTTATTCCAGTCCTTGTTTTTCAGATGGTACTGCTGATTTCTATGATAAGACCATTATTCACTGTGCACTAGGTA